ACACTAAAGATTAAATCACACATCAACCCTCACAAACTGATAGTGGGAGACATCAACACTCCACTCTCACCAATCAACAAGTCATCCAGACATAAGTTAAACAGAGCAATGCTGGAGCCAACATGTCATCAACCAAATAGACCTAACAGCCATGTACAGAACAATCCACCCAAACACAAAAGAATACAGAATTTAAAAAGAACAATACAAAGAATTAATGAAACAAAAAAAATGTTTCTTTGAGAAAATCAACAAGATAGACAAACCTTTGTCTAAACTAACTAAAAGACAGAGAAAGGATATTCAAATAAACAAAATCAGAAATGAACATGGTACATAATAACAAATACCAAGGAAATCCAGAGAATCATAAGGATACACTTTTTAAAAAAAAACTGCACTCCACAAATTAGGCAATGAATAATTTTCTTGATAGAAAAATACTTATCAAAGTTAAATCAAGATCAAGTAAGCAATTTAAATAGACCTATGACACCTAGTGAAATCAAAGCAACCATTAAAACTGTCCCAACCAAAAAAAGCTCAGGGCCATATGGATTTAGTACAGAATTCTACCACTTTGAAAGAAGAGTTAATGCTAACACTCTTCAAATTATTCTACAAAACAGAAACAGAAATAACATTGCCAAATTCATTTTATGAGGTCAGTTACCCTGATACCCAAACCATATAAAGACTCATCAAAGAAAGAGAACTACAAACCAATTTCTCTTATGAACATAAGTGCAAAAATACTCAATTAAATACTTGCAAGGTGAACACTGAATCCAACCAAGAACACTTCAAAAAGATCAGCCACCACGATCAAGTAGATGTCATCCCAGAGATTTACGGATAGCCTAATATATGAAATTTTATCAACGTAATCCACAATATAAACAAACTGAAAGAAGAAAAAACCACATGATCATCTCATTAGATGAAGAAAAAGGCCTTTGACAAAATCTTTCATTTGCTTGGTTAAAGTTAACCCAGTGCATTTTGTAGTGTTTGAGGCTACTGTGTAAGGTGTTGTTTCCTTGACATCTTTCTCAATATGTTTGCCATTTGTATATAGGAGGCCTACTGACTTTTTATAGTTAATCTTGTATCCCTCCACTTTGCTGAAAGTATGTATCAGCTGTAGGAGTTCCCTGCTAAAATCTTTAGGGTCACTCATGTAGACTGTTAAATCATCTGCAACACGTAGACTTCTTCCTTTCCAGTCTGCATGCCCTTGACCTTTTTTAGTTGTCATTCTGCTCTAGCTAAATCTTCAAATGTTATATATTGATTAGACATGAGGAGAGTGTACAAATTTCTCTTGCTTTTGATTTTACTGGAATTGCTTTGAGTTTCTTTCCATCTAATTTATTGTTGGTTATAGGTTTGCTATAAACTGCATTATTTTATATTTAGGTATGTCCCTTGAATCTCTGATCTCTCCAGAACTTTTATTGTGAAAGATGTCCTGTTCAGAAAGTCATTTACTGCACCAATGCTGTTCAGGGCTATTCCCACACTTTCTCTTCTATCAGGTTCAGTGTATATGGTTTCATGTTGAGGTCTTTGATCCACGTGGTCTTAAGTTTTATGCCAGGTAATAAATATGGATCTATTTGCCTCCTTCTACATGCAGACATCCAGTTGGACCAGCATCATTTGTTGAGACGCTGTGGTTTTCAGGCTTATTTATAAAAATAAAATTGTGTTCATTTGTGTGTGGATTTATGTCAGTGTCTTCAAATCTATTCCATCAATCGATATGCCAATTCCATGCAGGTTTCACTGTATACATCTCTGTAGTACATATATACATATATATGTATATATGTGTATACGTGTATTTATGTATATACATTAATATATGTATGTATCTGTAGTGTAACTTGAAATCAGGAATGGTGGGACCTTCAACAGTTCCTTGGTTATTCAGGATTGTTTTATCTATCCTAGTCCTGAACAACAATGGTGCAGGAGATGGCTTTCTGAACAGGACATCAATAACACAGGCACTAAGATCAACAATTTATAAATTGGACCTCATGAAACTTAAAAGCTTCCATAAGGTAAAGGACACTATTAAAACGATAAAACTGCAGCCTACAAAATGGTGGTGAGAATGTGGAGCAAGAGAAACATGTACTCCTCCATTGATGGCGGGAGTGCAAAGGCGTATAACCACTATGGAAATCAATATGATGGTTTCTCAGAAACTTGGAAATCAATCTACCTCAACAAGCAGCTATGCCACTCTGGGTCATACACCCAGAGGACACTCCATCCTACCACAAGGACACATTCAAAAATGTTTTTCTATTCATAATAGCCAGAAACTGGAAACAAGCTAGATGTCCCTCAACAAGGGAATAGATAAAGAAAATGTGGTATATTTACACAAAGGAGAATTACTCAGCTGTTAAAAAAAATTACAGCATGAACTTTGCAGGCAAATGGATATAATTTTAAAAAATCACCCTGAATGAGGTAACCAAGACCCAGAAAGACAAACATGTTACGTATTCGCTCATAAGTGGATATTAGCCATTAAGTAAATGATAGTCAAGCTAGAATCCATAGAACCGTTGAGGTTAGGTAAAGAGGGGAAGTCTAAGGGGACACATGGATCTCTCTGGAAAGAAAAAATAGATTTTACAGGCAGACTGAGGACAGGTGGAGACAGAGGGGGATTAGGTGGAGGAAAGATGGAGTGGTGTGAGAGAGTGTGGGAGAGACATGGGGAACTAGGGAACATTTGGGGATTGGTGTGGAAACCTAGTGCAGTGGAAACTTCCTGGAATCTGTGAAGGGGATCCCACTGAGGACTCATAGCAATGGGAGATAAGGGGTCTCACCTAGCGTCTCCTGTAACCAGTGAGGAGTCCCACAAAGATACCAAGCTGACAACTATGATGTGTGTGCAGAGGACCTTACACAGACCCACACAGGCTCCAGGATTGCCATCTCAGTCTCTTTGAGGCTCAATGAGCCCAGCTTAGTTAATTCTGTGAACCTTGGGTCTCCAAACCCTCTGTCTTCTACAATTCATCTTCCTCTTCTTCTGCCAGGTTCCTGAGGCTCCAAGGAGAAGGACCCAGTGGAGATCTCCAATGTCCACTCCATCTAATGTTTGCTGCTGGCCTCTGCATCACTCTCATCAGCTGCTGAAGGAAGCCTCTCTGTTGGCTATTGGGCTAGGTACTGATCTATGAATATATCAGAATATCATTGGGAATCATTTTGCTGTTTTTTTTCCTATCCTACTAACATAGGCATCTTCTTATCTATGTTTTTCAGGTTGAGTTCTCTCACTTGTAACGCATAACCACAATGTAGAACTTGAAAATAAATGACACATACTTTAGTTAGATTTGGAGTTTTAAACAATTGACTATTTTATTTTTCATAGGTACAGAATATAAATCCAATAGAGTTGTGATTGGTTTTTATAGTTGATTGCTTTTATCTTATGGTAATCTTGTTTTTGTGGTTCCCCCCCCCCCACAGTTACAATGCCCTCCAGTGTTTGTGCTTTCTTCTTTCCCTGAGTTCTCATTACTCTGTTGATCAGTTCATTGTTGACAAAGTCTCTCCTTTTTCTTTTCTTTCCTTTTCTTTCCTTTTCTTTTCTTTCCGCAACATTGTACCAGTTTCCTTCTGATACCTGAGAAAAGAGAAACAAAATGTTCTTAGTGGGTTTTTAGTGAGAAGCAAACAGAAAGTTGCTAGAGAACTAAGCTCATCCTGGCTAGAACCCTGCACACCTTAAGAAAGAGAACTAGCAAAATGCAGGACACAGAGTTAGACTGCAAGCTAACAGGAGGAGACCTCCCCAGTACTTTCAGAATTAGCAGCAAATGAACAGAAAGAATATAGTACTCTAACCGGATGAAATAAGTTTTGAACAAAGTAAATCAAAACATTTCATCTCTAATGGTAACAGTGTAGCATATGCACAGTTTGATAATAGAACACACTTAAAGACAAATGAGTCTATAATTGGAATTGATAAATATTTACCTAGAGAAACCACACTAAATGAAGCAGAAATAAATGAGGCTGGTGGGGAGACAAGTGTGAAGCTAAAAGTATCACAAAATACTTTCACATTTGTGTATATAGCACTATTTACAATAGCTAAGAATGGACACTAACTAGGTGTACGATGAGGAAGGAATGAATACAGAAAATATGCTGTCTACACACAATGGAACTTCTTTCAGCTACAAAGTAAAAAGTTAGGTTTTTTCCAAGTAGTATGCAACTAAAAATAATCTATTAAGCAAGTTAGCCCAATCTCAAAAAACAATATTTTCCTCATTTTTGATTTCTAGATATTTAGGTAATTATAGAAATTTATGTATATGAATTTATACTGTATATTATATGCATAATATATGCATCATATATTGTATGTATGTACATATGTATGTATGTATGTACATATTACATCAGATGTATTTGGTCCTAAGGAAGGGATGGATCCCATAAGATCATATCTGATGAGAGACAGTATTGATCCAATCCAGTTCTAGGTCTCAAGCAAAGCATCCCAGTTTAAAATAAAAGACCAGAGGATGTAGATAATTTCATAATTTTTTTAAAAAAACAAGAGTGAAGTTATGTAGATCTTCCAAAACAGATTGAAGAAGAAGTTACGAAAGAATGTACAGAGAAAAATACATTCAGCCAGTGGGTTAAAGACCAGGGCCACTCACATGCTAACAGCCTAAAGAAACAGACCTAGCATGTAATCAACAGACCCACAGAAGAGTTAGCCAAGCTGATGATACCTTCAAGCTCCGAGACCATCAGTCTATGTATTTATTCAAAGGCAAATCCTCTAAGAATTCATTTGCAGTATACAGGATCTCTTTCAGTGCCGAGAGGATCAGCTTGTCTTTCACTGGGTCCAGCTGCCATTCTGAGACATAATTACTCACCACCAAGATGTCAGATAAGGCAAAACCAAAGATTCTATGGAATCTTTCCAGCTGAAATACAAAATTGGAAACCCAGAGCTGTGTCAAACTGAGGACCAGAGTTTGACAGACAGTGACAACACAGATTAAACATATTGGTGTTAAGGAAGAGACAGAAGGGCCCAGGGGCTAACCGATCTACCACTCCAGCCAGGTAAATATGTTCCAAGTTTGGTGAGAGACTTTGTCTCAAAAAGTGAGATAGAGATCAATTGAGAAGACACCTAACATTGAATTGGGGTTTCCTTACACATATGCAATTATACACATAGGAGTGTGAACACACATGCACCCCAATACAGACACGTACACACAACCTCTCAGTTGTCTCAACACAATAAAAATTCTAATGCCAATATAAAGCATGAGAAGTAATAAAAACTAAGAGATTGGAGATCATTTTTCTATATTTTTAAAAATCAAAGGTCAGATCCTCTGCAATATTTTCTTGAAGAATTTTATACCAAGTTCCAATATCACTGATTTTATTTAAAATGCATTAATATATTCAGCATGAATTAAAAACAAATAACATGCTCTGACTGATAGTGTGATAATGGCCATCACACCAAAACCAAACTGCAAATTCAATGCAGTCCCCAGCAAAATTCCAAAATAACTGTTCACAGAAATTGGAAAGCATATCTAACCTCATGTGGAAGTACACACACCTAAAAAAGCAAAACAAGATCACAAAAACAATGCTGAAAAATAGGAGATACAGATAGCACCATCCCAGATCTGAAGTTGTATTACCAGGCTACAGTAACAGAATCAGCATGGTATTGGCATAAAAACAGACACATCGATCCGTGGGATCACACTGAAGACCTAGACATAAATCCACACAGCTATGGACAGCTGGTTATTCCTAAAGAAGTCAGAAATGCACACTGAGAAAAAAAAGACAGCATCTTCAACAAGTGGGACTGATCAAACCAGGTGGCTGCATGTAGAAGAATAAAAAAATAGATCCATATTTACCACTCTGCACAGAACAACTCCAAACTGAGTTTTGTTCATCAGTTGAAGACCACGTACACCGAATCTGATAGAAGAGGAGATGGGGCCTAGCCTTAAATTCATGGCACAGGAAAAGACTTTCTAAGCAGAATACATTGGCACAGAATCAAAGACAAATAAAACTAATAAATGGGACCTCAGGAATTAAAAAGCTTTTTTATGACAAAGGACACCATCATTTGGGCAAACTAGCAGCCTGCAGAAGAGGAAAAAATCTTTTTACAATTATACATCTGATTGAGGGTTGGTATCTAATATATATAATCTCCAATGAAAAACAGAAACAAATCTCGGCATCAAAAAAAAAAAAACAATTAAAAATGGGGTACAGAACTAAACAGATTTCTCAATAGATGAAACACTAGTGACTTGGAAGAGCTTCAAGAAATGTCCAACATCTTTATCCACTAGGGATATGCACATGAAGACTACTTTGAAACTCCATCTTACCCCAGTCATAATGAACAAGCGCAGTAAAACAAATGACAGCTCATGCTGGCAAGGATGTGGGGAAAGGGATCACTTGTTCACTCGTGGTAAGGGAACAAACTGGTACAACCACTATAGAGATTAGTATGGTGGTTCCTCAGGAAGCTGGAATGGATCTACCTCAAATTCCAGCTATGCCACTCTCAGGAAAATATCCAAAGGACTCCACATTCTACTAGAGATATTTTCTTACTCATGTTCATTGCTACTCTACTCATAATAACCAGAAATTAGAAAGAGCCTACATGCCCATCAAATGATGAATGGGTAATAAAAATGTGATACATTTGTGCAATGGAATAATATTCAGCTGTTAAGAAAATGAAATTATGAAATCTACAGCTAAATAGATGGACATAGAAAAAAATCATGAGTGCAGTAATTCAAATCCTAAAAGACAAGTATTGTGTGTTTCTCCTGTATGTACATGTTACCTTTAAGGTTTTGATATGTGTGATGCAATCTGAATAACCACATAGATTATGTACTTAGTAAAGGAATAAAAGGTAGAGGAGGAAATCTCCCAAGGAATGAGAAATCTAGAATAGAGTCATGGAGGGATAAAGGGGAAACTAGAATAGGAAGGATACATAGAGAGGGGGACGGGAGAAAAGGGATAAAGAGGGATTATGGGGAAGGACAATTTAAAGGCAAACTACAAACAATATGGAAAGATTTAGAAATCTTAGCCCTACTAAGGTATAAAATTAGTAGGTCTAAGATTCCTAAATTATATACATAATATGAAAGTAATATAAATGGAGTCAGTAATAGTGGAGACAATGCCCCAACTAGACATCTTACGCCAAGTTAAACATCCCATGCCAGAAATCAGTTACATCTTTTTGTATCATTGGCCAGTAGAGTCACAGCCTTCCCCACAGAAAAAATATCACAGGCTATTGCCAAACTATTAGTTTCTCTCCACAACTTGAGGGCAATGCCTTATTGATTAAGACACTTACTTATATCATGGAACACAGAGAAGTTGATCTGGTGTCTAACGAAAATATTCATACCTATAGACTAGCATTCATGGTGCTAGAAGTTACTCTGTATACAACTGGCGGAGAAAGCAGTTATCTAATCTTTCAACTACAATCCTTGTGAGCTACAAAAGTGACCTTTTCTTCCAGCAAGATACACAGGCGTAGTAGTGGCACAAATGTTATGGGAGTAACCGACCACTTTTGACTTGGATTTGTGGTATACTCCATGAGAAGGAAATCATCCTTCGTACTACTAAAGTGGCCAAGAGCCTGAGACTAGATAAGTCGTCGGCCTAGGAGAAAACCACATCCTATTATTGTGCTAAAGGAACAAAGCAATAAAATGACTCCTAATGATATTCTGTTAGACCAGTAGAACAGTGCCTTACTCAACCCACATCAGAGAAGCTTCTTGTTACAGTAGATGAGAATTAACACAGAGAAACAAAACTATACAATGTACAGAGAATGAGGGACTTCAGAGCACTCAGCCCTAAATGGAATGTTTTCATCAGACTCTTCCCCTCAAGACTCAGGGATCAATCTATGCAGAAGAGGAGACAGAAAGATTGTAAGAGAGAGAAGTGATAGATGACTGGAATAATTAAGTGTCTTCCAGACACCACATGACATTGACACACATATTACCTCACAGAGAATGTGGCAGAGTGCATAAGGTCTACACAGATTCAATCCAGAAAGAATAATAGCACCGAGAGAGAGAGAAGTGAACATAGGATCTCACACCTAAGGAGCTATCTGGAACTGATGTCGACTGGCAGAACCAAAACTCAGTTTTCTCCAATGGAGTGTCACTGGGTTTATCAACCTCATAGGGTGGGCCCATGCCCAGGAACATCTGGCCAACAGAAAATGAACTTCATTGGTTTTTTATTTTGTCATCTATTTGTTTGGGTTTTCTTTTATTTTGTGTTGGCTTTTTTCGTCTTACTGATCTTTTACTTGCTTGTTTGTTTGTTTGTTTGTTTGTTTTGTGGAGCTTTTAATGCATTGTCATCATCATTATTTGCTACATTTGGTTTGTTTTTTTTGTGATTCCTTATTTTATTTTTATTTTTTGAACAAAAAAGAACATAAATCTGAGTGGGTATGGAGGTAGGGAGTAACTAGGATGAACTGGAAGGGAAATCATGATCAAAATATGCTGGGAAAAAGTGAGAAAAATGAGAACTCTTACAAAAAGAAATGTAATGGGATGGTAAGGAAAGCAAAACTGGAGGCAAAGAGGAAGAAAGAAGAGGGAGAGGAAGGAGAGGAAAAGATAGAAAGATAAAGAAAGGAGTGGGATTCCTCGGAGCATGATTGAGGAAGCGTTACCAAGAGAGAGGAGGAGGAGAGTAAGGTCAGTAACATGAGGACCAGTAATGAGTGCTGGTGTCAGAGTGAACAGAAATCTTGGCATGAGCAGGGAACAAGAGGTCAAATGATCCTAGTGTTTGCACTTGTGTAGGGTATGAAGCTGGAAACATGAGGAAGACAGCAATTCAAAGCAAACAAAATGAAGGGTGACTCCTGATCTACAGGATTCCTATTAAACTGAAGCAATCTGAACATGCCTGGGATAGTGTCTAGAAATTTCAATTTCCTTTCCAAGGCATGCCCAGAATAAACCAATTTTATTAGATCAGTTTAATGTTTAATTCTTGTTTAGATTAGCTCTTCCTGAACATAGATCACCTAGGCTCCCAACAGAGCACTGTCACTTCTTAGCACTATTAATAAGCATTGGCAAAGCCTTGCTTCTAGTTCATATTGTCTCCTCATCTGCCACACAATGTTATTTGCACCTACCTCCTCGGATTGGTAGCATGATTCAATAAGAGAACTCCACCACATATATAGTGGTGCATAAGTATGGCCTGTCTTGACATGCTCAACTCATTTTCCAACCTGCAACATTTTGCCTCCAGTCTATTCTACAGAATTTATGGAAATCTTAAGGTTGAATATATGCCAAGTTTCTAATGTCTCTGATTCTCTAAGATGTAAAGATCACAAAACAAACTGTCATCATTCTGCCTTTCTGTCTACTTCAAATATCTAGCTGTCCACTACACTGAGCATGTATCTCAGACATGCTGCCTTTTCGCCCTTTAATGCATTAATTTATATTTCTCTTGCCTGAATCACTTTCTTCCTTTGTCTTTTCTCTTACTAGACACTATCTCTCAGTATCACCTTGCAATGAAAATCATTCCCTGTGCCTTTTTTTTTCTCCTTCAAACCATCAGAACACACTACCTTCCCCATTTCTTACATGGTACTTATCATATGTAATCGTGTCCCATTCCTTTGTGTGGTTTTCTTTACCCTCACCTCTGTTTATAAAACTATAAGACTTTTAGTACAATAATTATATTCATTATCCGTATATCAGACTAGAGGCTATAATATTGGTTTGATCATAAATAAATCAATGAAAATTTGTTGAATTAAATTAGATTGCAGCAAATGTAATTAAACATTAAGTTCAACACAAGGTTTAGTTTATGGTTATTTAATATTTTAAACATGGGAAGTGTGTCCTAACTATTTTAGCAATTATTTCACTTCTTCTCCAATTTAGTATATTTATTGTTCTTTATATGGGGTTCAATATTGTGTATATTCACATTCCTCAAAGAACTGTTTATGTATCACCTTGGACTTCACAGGACTGCAGTTGTATATATCTATCAGGTCTCCTTTTGTAATCCAATCCAGGCTATCCACGTGTGTAAGCAAAGCCAAATGCAGAATACCTGCGTTGAAGAGATGTATAGGATTTCATCCTTACAGACATCAACAACATTTTTAAGTTAGTAAGTCAACAGGTTTGCTGCCAGCAGGTAATGGGGCAACTTTAGATTTAGGGAGGTTTCTACCTCCAATGCCCCCTCCATTTCACACCTACACACGCCATACACTGCAGTTTCCTTTGCATGCAGTGCCCCCTTCATTCTAAGCTAAGAAATAAAGCTTCACTAGAGACCACTTTTTGGAAAAAACAAAATTTACCCCATATTATGGCCAATTACTATTCAATCCTAAATCTGTTCTCTTAATAGAGACTGGAAAAACCTACAGAATATGGGACTTCTCCAAAAGTGAGAGAAACCATCATTCCTCATGAATAAGCTACTCCCATTTCATGATGTTGACAAAAAAGTCCTTGTCCAAGTTTTTAAACCTTTTAATTTCAGTGAGCAGATAAGTCAAGCATTCCTTGCTTCTTAGTCAAATTTGTGATGAACTCTCTCCAACGCTAATGCATAAAACCAAGAAAATCCAGAATTGGCACCAGAACTACCGGCTTGTGTTCCCCTCTGCCTTCCTGATGCCTTTCTCTACTAGTCATCTTATATGCTGACTTTTTTTTCTAAGCTATTTGCTATCTATATTTTAATACTTTAAGGTCCAAAAGAAAAGATATAACACCTAGTCAAAAACTACATGACAAAGTATGAAGGCAGTGTATGAATGAGGGTGGTTATTCTTCACCTTGTGTAATATTTACTATCAAAATATTCAGATGGAGGTCCTATCATTACATCATTTTAAGGTGTTGAGAGAAATTAAGGTTAAGTCATATGTGTGTGATCATACAGCTGTTGAGAGCTCAACTGGATGTAACCATGGTGATGATCCAGAAAGACTCCCATTTGCAAGCACTGTAATCCTTCATCTCACTCCCCAAAATTTTACTATAAAGGCCGGTCGGTTACCTTGAGCAGCAAAATGAAATAACACTCACCATGTTTTATCAGGTCTCTTCGAATTTGCTTGATCTTTGCCACCAGCTCACAAGAGAGCAGTTCAAAAGAATTAATATCAAACACAAACACCACACAATGAATTCTGTCCTTCAGCACTGGGTCATGGATATATTTCGGATGGTTTGATGTGATTGGTTTCATGGTATCGAACTGTAAAGTATATAAGAAGATGGAAGTCACGGTGCGTTTGTTTATAAATGATACTCCAGTTCTATGCACTTGAACAAAATGCACAGATCCCTGATATTAAGGGGCTAACCATAAGATGGACAAGAAAGTAATTGCACAAGTAGGTATGGCTCTTTTACACAGTCTGATAAAGCATCTCTGATCAAGGGATACATGATATAGGGGCCATAATGCAATAAAGTTCTCAAGAAAGTGAATAAGACTGTGGCTGGATGTGCTTTAAATAAAAGGAACCATGTATATGAAAACAGAAGTCAGAGCATCCAGAGAAGAAATCGGAGTCATCACACAGTGCATTAAGAGGAAGAATGTTGCATGATTCAAAAGTGCCATGACATGAGCTAACAATTGCTCTGCCTGGGTGTGTCTCACAGAGATAATGGCATAAAGACAACACAGTATCCACACAGAATCTTGACTGTAGGCCTATTCACACAACAAAAGCACAGTACATCAATAAGTCATAGGACACTACCATTTCCCTAAAATGGAAGGAAATACAACGATGTATATATTTTATTTGATGTTGCAAAGGGGAAGAAAGTCATAAACTTGTTATGATTTCTTAAAGGAAAAACAAAGGGATTTGTTTGGATCAACAGAGAAAGAAAATCAATTCATTAACTGATAAATCCATAAATCAAATTAAATATGGTACTTAGATGGAATAAGTACAAAGTTAAGTTGTTTCTGGCTGACAGCAAAACACAGCATAATTAGCATGTCTTCTCCATCCTTATATAATGCCTGCCCAACATGGTATAAAAGTCTTCTAGAATTGTTACATTATATCCAGATTTGATTGTTACTTTACTAAGTAATATTAAATATGTTTATATTAAAATAAACATATATTGCTTGCACTAATATTGGAGTCTGTTCTGAGATTACTGTGTAAAATGAAGAAATGAGTTGATACAATATTCTATCAACTCTACTGTGTGAGAATAAGAATTTTCAAATTAGAAGGATGTCAGTAAAATATACTTACAAAATATTCAATTAAAATTCTCAACTCTAGGATTTTAATATATATTTGTGAATTTATAAGATAGCTTATCAGAAAAATTTATGTTTCCCTGAAAAGTGCAAAAAATTGACAAACAAAATAGCAACAACTTTTCTAATGCTACAAGACAAGGCTTTGTGAAGAAACAACTGATTCACAGTGCAGGAGAGGAACCACATAAGATTTGATGGAGTAATTCACAGTGCAGGTGATGGGGTAATTCACAGTGCAGAATAGGAAACATACAAGATGTGACAGGAGTACCAGTACACCACAGAGCAAGAAACACAGAAAGACTTGCATCTCTGTCAAGGGACCTGGGATTTAATTTGTAAGGTCCCTATTGGTCCTAGGATTGGAAAATGGAAAAACTACAATGTATCAAAATGCATCAAATATAGTCAGTTTATACTGAATTCACAATGATAATAAATTAACAACTGGTAATTGATGGCAAGTATTCAAAAAAGAACTTATTATTTTCAAAAGTTTATAAAGCAGACTAAAAAAATCAAGTTCGTTTTTGTATTCTTCTCTTCCTTTGTATTTGTGTGTACCGCTATGAAATCAGATAGTGGACATGGGAGAATTTCTCTCCATAGGGACATGAGGAAGAATTATGGAAAGAGAACATCACTATGTTCACTCTAATAAATAAACAATTTCCACACTGAACACTAATGAAATCAGGAAGACCCCACATTAGGTACCTGCAAATGGTACACCACCTATGAAGTAGAATCCACTTGGTAATATTTCTCTGAAATCAATTAACTATTTTTTGTTCTGTGGAAAGCAGAGAGCCATGTAAAATAACACTTAAGGATGCAAACAGAGTCCATGTTATAAAAAGACCTAGGAAACAATCATTCCAATTTCTTAAAAAGACAAGCTGGAGTGCCCGTGCAGTGGCTCAGCAGATGGAAGTGTGTGCCAATAAGCCTGATGACCTGAGTTCAGTCCCCAGAAAGAACATGGCGGAAGAAGAGAATCAACCCTCCCCAACATGTCCTCTGACCTTATCACTTACATGTGAGCTAGCTCTCTGTCTCTCTCTGTCTCTCCGTCTCTCTGTCTCTCTCTGTCTCTTTCTGTCTGTCTGTCTCTCTCTCTCGCACACACACACATATATACACAAGAGGGGGAGAGAGAGGGAGAGAGAGAGAGAGAGAGAGAGAGAGAGAGAGAGAGAGAGAGAGAGGAGATCTATCTTTTATATAGTCAAATTGCAAGGAAAAGCAGAGTATATAGGCTAAAGGATTTTGCATAGATTTAGTTTTCAAAAATGAGCGGTTAAATGTGCTATAATAGAAAAGTTAGAAATTTCAATATTAAAACAAAAGTAACCATGTTATGGTTATTATAGCTATATTCAAAAAAGCTATATTAACATGTATTTCTTTGGATTATAAAAAAGATACCCACCTAAACTATTATGTGTAGGGAAAACTTGCTTATTAAGGTAACAGTTTATCATGACCAGATAGCTCCTCTGAGCTCAGTTAAAAAAAAAAAAAAAAATGGAGGACTCCCTTTACCAGAAAGGCTTTCCCTTTCCTGACCTTGACTGGGGATCCTGACTGCCCACACCTTCTACCTCAGGAAGGTCAATTAGTCCTTGGCAGACTTCAGGTTCAGCTTCCTCAAACCCCCTTAATAAGAACCCACCCAGCAAGTACCTGGGATTCCTGGAATGCCTCTCCATACAAATGAGGCATTTGCAATACTTTAAACTCTAGACAATGATTTTCCTTTGCCATGAAACCTACTTCCCACTCTCCAAGGTTTGCATATAGCCCTTTTCCACCTCAAATAAAATAAATTCATACAAGCCCACCCCTATAAAGGTAAGTGCTCAGGCTGTTTCACTGAAGACCATCAGAGTAGGCCTTTGTCTAAAAGAGCTGTTCCAGTCTTCTATGCAGCAGGATCTGGACACCTGAGAGGGAAGAAGCAGAGGACCCAGAACCACAGCTGGTCCCCCAAACTCATACCATAGCCGGCACTCAACATGGGTGACAAGTACCACAGTCATGGTTTCTCTGATTTGCTTCAAAATGATACAGGAGAAGAGAAGATGACAAATACAGATTAAATAAGATTCTGTATGATTCACAAATTCTGAAGCTCATTCTAAAGCTGAGTACATAGGAATTCATTAATCTTTTTTGTCTACTTTTATATAAATTTTAAATGTTCTATAATAAAAAACAGACTTTAAACATGCGTGTCTACATGCCATTTCTATATTAAGAAATAAGACAAATTCCAAGATCAAAAGTTATAACAGTCTTTCTGAATAATGCACAAATTAAATTAAGCCATGAAGTATTCATAAAATTTCCCTCAAAACAACAATAAATCAATCACAAGAGCTTGCTTTCAAAAGTATGTATAAAAACTGTCTAGACTGGGCTGGAGAGATGGCTCAGTAGTTAAGAGCACTGACTTCTCTTCCAGAAGTCCTGAGTTCAATATCAGCAACTACGTGGTGGCTCAGGTAATGGGATCTGATGCCCTCTTCTGCTGTGTCTGAAGACAGCTACAGTGTACTCGCATGCATAAAGTGAATAAATAAATCCTTTTTAAAAAAAACTGTAAAGAAAAGCAAGAGAGTTGGATATAATAGAGTATATCAAGAAATGATTTATTCCTGCAGTAATAAAAATAATTAAACAATAGGTAATTAAAGAGATATCATAAAGGAATAGATAAGTATGCCAATAGAAAAAACCTAAAGGATGCAAAATGTGACTCCCATGCATTTTAATCATCCTGTACAAAGGATTACAAAGACATCAGTGAAAGACCCAGAGGGCATCAGATCCCACAGTGGGCTACTCACTTGGCTACAATGGGCTATTCACTTTGTTCAAGATTAAGGATTACTTTGTTATCTAAAGGTGCGTGGTGATGACTAGAAATTTAAAGCCAACCAGAAACTAAAACAACTCTTTGACTTCCCCTTTATCTTCCCTGCTTCGGTCAGCATAGGCTGAGAAGTATAGAGATGAAGGAGACACACCTACTTAGTTAGGTAAGGTTGTACATTGCATGACATAAAAAGAAAAATCAATTTCTCACATAGATTCTAGAATCAAAGCACCAGAAAAGTTTATGTCTGCTGATGGTCATTCAGAGGTTCATCTTTAGCCTGTCCCCTCATATGGCAAAAAAAGGATCAGCTGAGAAGGGCACCAACTCTATCCTTAAGGTCTCCATCTACAAGACATGACTATTCCCCAAAGCCTCTACCTATTGATGCTATCAAATTGATGTCTAAGGCTTCAACATATGAAATCTTGGGGGTAGGGGAGAAAACATTCAGTCCCTAATGCCTGTGCTGGCTAGGTTTTGTTAACAACACAGGCTAGAGTCATCGGAGAGGAGGGAACCTCAATTGAGAAAGTGCCTCTGTAAGATCTGGCTGCAGGTAAGCCTGTGTGGTATTTCTTAGTGACTGATGAGGGAAGGCCCAGCCCATTATGGATGGTGCTTTATGCTGTTGGCCCTGAGTTCTATAAGAAAGTAGGCTGAGCAAGTCAGGAGGAGCAAGCCAGTAAGCAGCACCCCTCCATGGCCTCTGTGTCAGCTCCTGCCTCCAGGTTCCTGTCCTGCCTGAGTTTTGTCCTGAATTCTTTTGACAATGAACTGTGGTGAGGAAACATAAGCTGAATAAACCCTCTTCTTCCCGACTTGCTTTTTGGTCTAGGTGTTTTGTTACAGTGATAGCAACCTTGACTACCACAGTGTTTTAGGCTGCAGTGCTCAAAAAAAGGGAAACTTCTGAATTTAATAACCCCACGAAAGCTCTCACATTCCCAAGTTTCTGCCTTCAGATTTCCTGCTGGCAAAAGGAAGAAGAAGAAGAAGAAGAAGAAGAAGAAGAAGAAGAAGAAGAAGAAAGATATCCAATTCATAGAGATGGATGTCTGTTTCACCAAAAAAAAAAAAAAAAACAGTGCCCAACAGCACAACACTAGATGGCTGTTATGATAGGTGTAACAGAAGAATCCTCTGGATATTTAAAATTCTTAGTGAATTTTCTATTGAAAAGGAACAAAGGAAACTGAACAGGTACAGCTTAACATGCTCGAGCGGCATTGTTAGGCCAGAGTATGAGGTAGATGGTGGGAAAAACAAACATTTTAAAAATAAATTCATTTTTTTAAAAAAATATCAGTCGAATCTTACCTGATATCTGTCAGGTGTGTGGCCGTTTAAGATGTGACGTACATCATCTGTGTGCAAGCCTGCATCCTCATCCAGCCCCAGTGAGTCACAAAGAACAAATGGCAGGGGGCCACTGTCATCCTTGGACATGATGGAATACGTCCTGTACTGAAAAGTGAAGGACAACAAAGTGAAAACAGCATTTCTTTTTGCTATAAATTTAAATAAAGTGTACATAAGATTGATTGGCAAAATAGTTCCCCATACAGTTCACTTGAACCAGAGAAGTCTGGGTAGGCTAAAACATGCGTACCTTGTCAGATATTCCATTTTCGTCACAGCCCACCAAGGCCTGGTGTGTGATGCTGCCCCTGAACACAGACTTGACAGAGTTAACAAAGCTAGACTTCCCAGCTCCAATAGGACCCAGCAGCAGAATTCGTGTTTGGTGAATCAGGTCTCCGTATGGCTTGTAGTTTCTCAGGGCATGCAGTAAATTACTGTGTAACCTGTTCAAACATAACTAACGTTAAGAACTGACTGACCAGCTCACACGATCTCACCATGCATCTTCTAATAAGTTGCTTCTCTTCCTTATAGCGTTTCTAATTAGCGGCTTGCCCTCTTCCGTGTGCACACAAGCCCAGTGAATGTGGTGGTTTGAATGAGAGTGTCCCTCATAGGCTTAGGGAACTGGACACTTTCTTCAGTTGGTGTTGGTATTTGGAAAGATTACAGAACCTTTAGGAGGTGAAACCTTGCTGGAAGAGAACATCAGCGAAGGCCAGCTTTGCGTGTTTGTAACCTTGGCCACTTCCTGTCTTTTCTCTCTGTTTCCGGTTTGTAGATGAAAGGGTAACCTGCCGCTTTCCTTTAGCCTGCTGCCACACTTTCTGTGACTGTTACCATATCTTCCCTACTATCCCTAAGCTAAAATAAATCCTTTCTTCCTTAAGTTGCTTTTGGTTGTGGCATTTTGTTATAACAACTGAAACATAGCTAATACACGGCCCTTTAAGTCAGACTGTAAAAGAAATGTGAACAATGCTAATCAGTCATAAAGCTGTTCACTTATATGACATCACACTGTAAATTCAGTAACAGATATCAGCCTTGCCAAATGTGAAGATTAATAATGATAAACTTTAAAGGTCATTATGTAATATATATTTGAAGTTTATAGACATAGGCCATTTCTAACATGCTCTCATTAATAGATGTTCTCAGCCTGATAATAATTCTCAGCACATCCTAAAGTAAAAACCTTACTGTAAGAATTCTAAAAAACACAAACACATAGGCAGCAGCAATTTCCCTCAAGTGAAAAACATTAAAAAATAGTCCCCTCCCACTGACTGCTCTTTTAACATTACTAGGACCAATTTGTCTAACAAATTATAGACATGGGTCCTGGTTATTCATTGATGGCCTACATATTAACTGTAATAATTTGTGCCATCAATTTTGATGGCATGCTTCGTCATAATAAAAAGGTAGTAGAGTAATAAAACAATAAAAACCAAAAGGGACATCAATCAACCCACAAAACTTTTGACTCAAGATTTATCTTATCTGTAAGAAATGCAGGAACTAGGGATAGAATAGAGACTGAGGGAATGACTAAGCAGTAACTGGCCCAACCAGAGACCCATCCAATGGGCAAGCACCAATCCCTGACCCTATTAACGATACTCTGTTATGCTTACAGTCAGGAGCCTAGCACGGCTGTCCTCTGAGAAGCTCAATCCAGCAGCTGACTGATGCAGATGCAGAGATCCCACAGTCAAACAGTGGATGGAGCTTGGGGACTCTTATGGAAGGAGTTGGGTATAGGATTGAGGGCCTCAGAGAAGACGGGAATTCCACAGGAAGACGACAGAGTCAACTAATCTGGACCTTTTGGGGTTCTCAGAGACTGAACCACCAACCGCGGAGAATGCATGAGCTGGACCTAGGCCTTCCTACCTATATGTAGCAGACGTGCAGCTCAGTCATCATGTGGGCACCGGACAACTGGAGGAGGGCTATGCCTAAACCTGTTGCTTGTCTACAGAATACATTCTTCCAGCTGGGCTGCCAGTCTGGCCTCAGAGGGAGAGGATGCTCCTAGCTCTACAAAGACTTGATGTGCTAGAGTGGGGGGTACTGAAGGAGGCCTCCCCCCTCTCAGAGAACGGGAGGGAGCGTGGGAGAAAGAACTGTAGGAGGAGAGACGGTGATCTGGATGTAAAGTGAATGGTTAACAATAATTTAAACACATTGACTTACACAGCAATTCCTGTTGTCGTTCTTTCATCCAATAACTCTAAGGGAAATAACAAATAATAGAGATTATATAGATCACAAATTCTTAAATTGGCTGGTCAAATGAATGTGAGTAAACTCACTAGGGACAAAGCTATAAGTAGTCTTTTCACAGGAAAAGGTAAGGGGAGAAAACTCTGGATGAGTCTCATTCCCATTGTCTCTTTGGAGACAGAGGAGCTCAGAAGAGCCTGCAGAGGAGCTCAGGAGGAGCCTGCAGAGGAGGAGCTCAGGAGGAGCCTGCAGAGGAGTGCTCCCAGCAGCTCTGTGGTCTTCCAGCTTCGCTCTAACAGAAATTAGGATTGGAATTGGGAGAGTCTTCTGAATTAGAGAAGCAGAACATGGAAGTATGGAGAAACCACGGTAAGACTAACATCAAATGACATTTTCCCCAAATGTAGCATTAGGTTTGAAAGCTGCAGTGTGCATCTTTCAATTTTTCTAATTTTCAAAACATGCACAAATGTTTGTCCAAGCTATCAATAGGAACTTCTATTCAACTGATGCATTCATGGCTCAAAAGAGAAAACAAAAGGAGATAAAAAAATAATGTCTAATCACTCCAAGAAACCATTAGTTTAGCAATGTTATCAGATCTCTAAGTAATTCTCACTATGGGGCCACATGTAGGACAACCAAGCAAATACCATTAAGTTACCAAAACCATACATTATAAAGATTTCATTCAGTGACCAAAATATAATTAAGCTTGAAATAAGAATCATGTTCAAAAATAAAAGCAAACTTCTGAGTTTATATAAAAGCACTCTCTGAAATACCTCCTGTGTCTGAGAGGAAAGGTAAAACTATAGTTATGTTAAATCAACTGTGTGAAAACCTTACAGCAACTTTGTGATAAAACAGGGCTTTATCATGATAGGAAATAAGGGATGTTTGAAAACAGAAACAAAAACTTAGGATCTCTTAAGAACATAAAAGAGTCAGGCAGTGTTGGAGCACACCTTTAATGCCAGCACTTCAGAGACTGAGGCAGAAGGGTATCTGTGAGTTTGAGGCCAGTCTGATCTACAAAGCAAGTTCCAGGAAGCCATGGCTACACAGAGAAACTGTCTCAAAAGAAACCAAAAGCAACAACAACCAAAACAGGAATAATTAGTAAAACTACTAATATAAACTATAAAACCTTAGACAAGGACAAATTAATGATGTAGTTGATTCTCTTAAATTGAAATGATCTAATAACCTCCTGACCTAATTAAGGAAAGCTAACTCTATGTAATCACAGAATTATGAGGAATCTAACATAGCCAAACTCATTAAAAAATAAAAAGCAACTAATGACTACAGGCAAAACGAGAAAGAAGTCATAGTGAAGGCTGCAAATGTCATTACCCAAGACAACTAAGTCCTAGAGAGTCTATACATAGTTAAGTAGTCCCATTTCATGATAGAATTTTAGCAATTTCTGGCCAGGTCATCTCTGTGGGTCATCTCTTCAGATTTGAGAGCCTGGGTTCAAACATGTCTTTTCTACAGGGATATGTCATCTAACATGTCACATGGCATATGTCAACAAACAGGTAGGGGAGAGCTTCCGTAGGTTTATCTGAACAAACTTACCATCACATCGAAAAGCTTCACACTCCTGAATAGATGAGACATCATGGCTAGAAGGCAGTCGGAGCTTTTTACGGATTGCTGAATCTATGGTCACAGTTTTCTCCTCTAAGAGTATAAAGAAATCAGAACTGTTTCTATAACAGAACAATGAATTTGGCAAAACTGGGATTTTTGCTAATCGTGACAATCCGGTCTCTTGGAGTGCAAAAAGGGTGATAGAAACTTCTTTTTCCTGGAAGCCTTCATGCAGGTACATGCCAACAACACACTTTCCACTATAAACCACTATCATGGTAGGACCTTGATCCTGACATTTCCGAAGCAAATTCTGCTGAGAAAACTTCTGCACACTCGCCTTGTAAAGAAGACAAAACCGTTTTCCTTCAAAGTAATTCTGCAGGCACTTTTCTTGCTCCCATGTCAAACGGGTTCTCATGGCCATACTTCAGTCGAGTGGAAAAGCCTCTTTAAACACACAAAGCTCTCGTTTACTCTGTCTCATAGGACACAGGAAATTAATGAACAGGAGGTAAACCTGTAACAAGAAAATCATTACCAAGATGTTCATTGGAAAAACTACTTTCAAATTTTTTAAATACTCCTGTTTTCAAGCAAATAAGGTCAATGGAAAGCTACCTACATACCTGTGTGAAGAGTCTCTACGAAGGCTGGCTTCTGTCTTAGTGACCAAGCCTGCAGAAAATTAAGAAAAGAAACTTTTCCACTGCTTGCAGCTTCCTGCTTGGGAAACGAAATTGAAACTCAGCGTTGCCTAGTCATACTGGCAGTGGGCCAACTTCAGTAGGCTTTTAAATAGCAAAGTCAGTCCAAGAGCATGTCAGGAAATTTTAGGAAGCATGGGCTCTCACTGAACTGAGGTGTCCTGTCCAGCAGGGCATTAAACGAGGGTCTGGGGAGACAGAGACCACCTGAAAGAGAAAGTGGAGAACAGGCCAATGCCAGGAAATGACAATCTCTCTATAGTCTGATCAGATCATTTTTATCTTTTCACACACAGGTTATATACACAAAAAGGCAGGATGTGGGGAAGGGGATGACATAGGAGTGTACGTGTTCAGGGGGAGTACAGATATCTTCCAGAACAGAGTGTCAGCTGGGTGAAGGTTCAGGGGACAGACCACTATGACTCTGCCTATGATTCACTTGTCTTTATCTAAGTTGGTACTATCCACCAAGGTTACCTATCTACAAGGTCTATGAGCCAGGCTTGGCAGCCTTCCACCAAAGCTGCTTGTTTACAATAACTTCTAGCCATCTGTTTCAGTGGTTTTCCAAAGACCCAAGACTTTGTGCTAGCAGGCATGTATGTCAGGCCTATTGCTGATTTTAGGCCTATGGCTGATTTTAGGCCTTCAGTGTATAAGCAGGGCTGTCCCTGACACTGAGGGTTTTTTGTTTTGTTTTGCTTTGTTTTGCTTTGCTTTGCTTTGCTTTGCTTTGCTTTGCTTTGTTTTGTTTTTTGGTAAAAAAAAAAAAAAGTCTCTATAGATGGACATGCAAAACAAAATTAACTATCTTTTGTACCTGTAAAATGCATCTTAAAGTCACCCACTTCTCTTAGTGTCTGCTATCATTTTATTCTAAACTAGTGTGCATCCCTCCAGAGGTTATTATGGCAAGCACGAGCACCCTTCTGTAACAGCTGGCTATAAGGCTACAAGAAGAACGTCATTGTTATTCCAGTAAATCTGAAGGGAAACAAAGGTGGTCAACGCCAGACACGACAGACAATATACTCCACAAGAAGAGTACAGAGAGGAACGGAGAGCATTCTGCCTGCTAGGAGGTTTGAACATCAATGATCGTCACTTAAAAATACGAGTGCTGGAGAGCCCGAGGAGCAAAGCAAAGACGTTTATTTTCTGATCTTGTAAAGTCAGTTGTCAACTGAGGGAAAAATAAAAAATGGAATTTGATGCAGGACAGTGCTTTTTATTTATTCTCCCAACTGAATTTCCCTGCCCCCAGAATGTCTCATTGGCTGAATTCTTCAGGATCAAATCCTCCCACTCATCCAGCATAGTCCTTACCCCAAACCCCCATCTCTCTGAGGCTCAAGATCCCCCGACCTGTCCTGATATGTTGGCTCAACTACGTATTTCACCTCTAAGATAAACTGAAATGTGCCGTGGACAAGCAGGCCAGAGACCATCCAGGGAAGTCAGGAGTTCAGTGCACCCTGCTTTCTGTGATTCCCTGGGGAGTTTTAAATGAACCTCACACTGATAATGAACTGTGATGTTTTCCTTACACAGGTCAGCGAAGGAAATGAAGGGAACCGTTGGAGGATGCTAGAGGCAAACACAGTGAAAAGTGGGCAGATTCAGGGTGTTCTTCAAGCATAAAAGAATGCTGAAAGAAATAACTAGTGGGATGGATGAGGGTTAGCTGGGGTAGGAGTAGGGGTAGAGAAAAGGATTGTTCTTGCTTGAGCATGGGATGAATGGAGAGACTATTGATTACTGACATAAGAATGTTGGAAGAGATCTTGGGGAAGACCGTGTATTCTGTCTTCCATTGTAATCTGTAAGTAAAAATGTAACTGGTTACTGTATGAGGTTGGAGACTATGGAATGAGGGTAACCTGAGAGCTGTCAGCATGCACATAAAGACACATAAGATGAAGGGCAAATTTCTATAAGTAAGTGCAGTTCTATAGAATCAACCTTGTGCCTCCCTCCCACTTTTAGAAGTCCTAAATATTCAGTCTTTGCCCAAAAACCCTAGAACTAGTGAGAAGCCAGAAGAGTGAGTTGTCCCAGGAGCTAGGTAAGAAAGGAAGAAATGGCCACCTGTGTCAACTACTCTTCTTTCCTTCAGGGCTTCCTCTGCTTAGCACATGGAGAAGGAAGCTCCTTCTGTAGAGCTAGGAATTTGAGCAGCATGGCCTGTGTATCTGAGAGAAGAGAGCATTGTGATTAGATAGTCTTGTCTCTCTACAGGAGAAGAGCTGGAAAGTGCTAGATGTTGAAACTCTGCTCCAACAAAGGGATAAAACTGAAGACATGCTGTCTCCATAAGGTTGAACAGAAGTACAAAGTAAGAGATCTATTGCTAACAAGCTATCCAAAGGTGGCTTCTTACAACAGCCATAATGCATTGCTCAGAGGGAGCAATTCAGACATGTTCTCATACCCAGCAGGGACAGCCTTGTGCCAAGTTGTGCAACCCCCTAGAAGTATGGGCTCTTGGTTTCAGTACCCCTCAAGAAATGCTAGCAACAAGGGAGGCTTTGTAGCTGATTCTAGCAGAGAATCATGGTCTCCAGGTGATAGAACTGTTCTAGAGAGCCAATGTTAAAGCTTTACAAGGTGGAACCTAGCTAAAGAAAGTAAATTTCTGGGTCTGGGATGGGCAGAGGTGGACATAGATGGTTCAGATCAACCCTGATAGATACCTACCTGAGCTTTCTGCTTTCTGATTGTGAAAATGTAAGGTTCCGGGAGCTGTACCCGGCTTGGTGGGGGGAGAAGGTGATCTTATTTCTTCTCCTCTGGTCGGTCGGTTCTTCTTGAGGCAGCCAAGGGGGATAGGAATTGGAAGAGCGTCGGCGAGGGGTAAGACTTGGTCTTACGAGATTTGGGGTAATATCTTATGAGATATTTAGGGTTGCTGTTTAATAAAATCTTTCTTATCTACATTACTAAAGTTTACTTACTAGGCTACTGTAGCTGACCTGCTATCTGTTTGATCCTCTGAGGTCAGAAACTGCAGTTTCTGGCCACTAACACCTCCGCCCAGGGACAGCAGAGAATTAAGAAATGCCTTTGATCTGTCTCTGTAGGCGCTGCCAGGCTCTAACTTAGGTCTGTTGGTTTGAGGTCGCAGGAAGAAAAGACACTTAAAGAAGTTATTTTAGTTTATTGCTAGTTTCCTATCTAAGGGGGGAAATGGGAAAGTCCTAAGTGGAAAAAGGAAAAAATTCTAACAAAGGAAAAATTCTAAGTAGAGAGATTCTAAGCAGGGAAGAAGGGAGAAGAGGAGAGGGAGAGAGAGAGAGAGAGAGAGAGAGAGAGAGAGAGAGAGAGAGAGAGAGAGAGAGAGAGAGGTGAAGTGAGGAAGAAAAAGTGAGGAGAAGTGAAGACACACCTAACGGACGTCCCTTTGTCTTATACATCATTCAGAGTACCTGATCACATGTTACAAAGTTCATCACAAGTTCACAACAAAATTCAAATCATAAATTGAAATAGAAGTTTACAATCGAGAATGTTTACATGCATATCCATTAGGAGTAATTATCTGACTAAACATCCATCACCTGTCTAGCTCCACAGGTTCACCAAAGGTTTAAAACTATAACTAAGAAATTAGTGAAGTTTTGTATAGATAAACCCAAGCAATATTTTTTCTTCTGTCCTAGCACCTATAATAAATCGTGAGTTCCCTTTAGTGACCCTTGGTTAATTGTTTTACAACCACCTTGGAATGTGCTCTGAGTAGGAGAGAGTCTGGTTACTATCTAAGTGCTGTTAACTGATGACACTTCGGAGACTGGCAAAGTTCTCATGGCAGTTTTGACTATCAGAAAAGGACTTAATAGCAGTCCCACTATAAAAGAGCTTAATAATCATTGATGTAATTTTAGAAATTCTTATAGGATCATCATTAAGACTTAAGAAGTCGTCTATTTGTCTATATAGCAACACTACAAGACAGTACATCTTCGTGGATCTGCAGAGTTCTGCTCCAAAGGGGAGTGCTATTGCTTAGTGATTGTTATATATGTTTAATAATAATAGGAAAAGCATATTAATAGCAGGATCTTTCCTAAAATATGTCCAACATAGCCTTTCTAAATGTGGCACACTTGTCGCAGATAATAATCCGAGGCAAGCATTTCAGGATGATCAACTGCTAATTATTAGCTTGTCCTATTATGGCTTCTGACAATAAGGAGTCTCCATAGATAGAAGCTCTATTGTACTTTCTCCACCAAGATGACTTTTACCCTCTAAAAGTGTAATTCAAGAACCTTTCCTCTCTTACATGCTACTTACCAAGTATCTGGTCACAGAAATGGGGAAATTGACTAATTACTATCTCTATTTTTGAGGACTTCTTCAAAGACTCATATTTACCAACAGAATTTAACCTGTGTATGGCAGGCATCTGTTTGTTCAATAATAGATCTAGAAATCTTAGATTTCAAAAAATGACAGTCAAACTGAAATAAATAAGATTTCTCTTTTCACTAAATGCATAGTAGAAAGGGGAAATGGAAAATGTCCATTCGTTGGTGGTTTTCTTGCTTCAGATGAACAATTTTCCAGGGGGCTGGAGTCCTGGACAATCATGTGAGTAATATTATGTAGACTTAATAGGTTATATCTAGAAGTCTGTCTGTCTGTCTGCCTGTCTGTCTGTCTCTCTCTCTCTCTCTCTCTCTCTCTCTCTCTCTGTGTGTGTGTGTGTGTGTGTGTGTGTGTGTGTGTGTGTGTGTGTCTGTGTCTGTGTCTGTGTCTGTGTCTGTGTCTGTGTGTCTGTATGTATGCGTATAATATCAATTAATGAAAAGAAGGTATTGCATTTGAGAAAGAGCAAGTGGGAAGATATGGAGTGAGGAAAAGGAAGGAAGAAATGATGCAACTATGTTACAGTCTCAAAAAGAAATGAGAAAAATGGCCATCAGTAACATTTTGACCATTGGCTTCCAGGTCCTTTGTCTCCTGCTCTTAAAGAATGAGTGTCACACACCACAGGACGGTGAATCTTAGAAAGTG